ACATTAGTTAATCAAAAAATCCAAAACTGCGAAATAAATCTAATCATTGTTATTGATAATCTCTTATAGATCCATTTTAATGTTGAATAATAATTTTACCTACTCACTCCATTGTTTTAGTCGATGATTGTCTGAAACGAATAAGACCAAGTAAAAGGACATGGGCCAATGACAGAAAAAAAATAATTCAAATTTTTTTTAATGGCTTGACTCCCTGCCTTGAGCATACATATTAGAGAGAAACTAGGCATAGCATTTTTTGGACATCAAATATCAGAATATGTCGAGACGAGACTGCCACCCGACAGTATAGCAGCGAGAGCATACAAACAGAGATTAGATGGTTTCCGGAAAGGGCAGGTCCGAGAGAAAATGGGTAGAGCGGTTTAGAGAAACATTCGACAAGCTGTGCAACTGTCGACCCAACAAACAAGAGAAAGGCATTTGCTCCTCCCATCGACACTAAGGGAACATAGGTCGAAAAAATTAAGTAAAAGTAAGTAAAGTTTGTAACATATTATAAGCCTTTGCTCTCTCACGAACTCAAAACAGAATTTATCAAAGTAAGTGTATTGCTGTTTCCTTAGTTGTAGGTACAGCCAACTGCTCTAGTTTGATTTTTTTCGAAACTTTTTTTTCTCCGAAAAAACAACAACATTTGTTTGAGTGGACTTTTCAAAGTTCCACAATAACCTTACCAATGTTCTTCCTTGAGAACATATGCTCAACAGCGTCAACTGTTTTTTCTAGCCCTTTGAAAGGTCCATTTGCAACATTTTCCCCCTTGTCTAGATTCACTTTAATCTTACCCTCTGCGTATTGTTTAGCCAAAGTGGCAATGTGGAGAGGGAACTTTTTAACATAGTGAGGTAGAAAAAACCCAAGGACACTTGCTGATTTGCGGAGACAGGCCATACCTACTGGCAGTTTTGATATCATTTCACTAGCGTTGGTACCCTCTGCGTTTTCGTACCCAGAAATAGCCCCAATGACAATCAGCCTTCCTTCAATTGCCAGATTCTGCAAAGAGACGTCAAACATTTCTTTACCAACACATTCGTAGACAACGTCTAATTTGTTCGAATATTCTTTCTTTATAACTTCCTCAAAATTTTCTTTCTTGTAATTGATGACGCGATCACAGCCGATGCTCTTCAGGAAGTCCACCTTTTCGGGACTAGAACATGTCCCAATCACGTGACACCCGGCCAGTTTGGCGATCTGCACGGCGAACTGACCAGTCCCCCCGGCAGCAGCGGTCACCAGGACGGTTTCACCAGCTTTCAGATTTCCTTTTTGTTCCAGCGAGATAGACGCCGTCAGTCCACTGAGCACGATAGACAGCAGGCCAGGGTCGGTAGACGGGACTGGGACGGCCTTGTCAGCTGGCACAATCACGTACTCCGCGAAGGTACCGAACTGGAGGAAGGCGACGGCTTGACCTATTTTCAGATTGGTCACTCCCTCACCGACGGCGACGATTGGTCCAATCCCCTCCAGGCCAGCAGGAAAAGGCGGTTTCATTGTGGGATCGTAGCGACCGGAGCTCAGATTGATGTCAGAGGCGTTGATGCCCACAAATTTGTTCTTCACCAACACCTGGCCAGCTTGCGGTTTGGGAACGGGGACATCCCTGATTTCTGTGACTTCACGGAAGTTGGTGCCAAGTTTGGTGATGGTGACTTGCTTAGCTGTAGCGGGAAGGGCCATGGTTGTGACTGGTTTCGACAGTTGAAGTTACTTGCCTGGAGAATAAGATAAAGCAATGAAGAAATGTTAATTTAAAACAAGAGGGGAAAAAGAAGGTTGGAAAAAAGGGGGCGGGGGTGCGTGAACTACTATAAAGCTGGGTATTTCTAAGATATCGATCATTTACTAGGGCTACAACATCCATCATCAATAGCCAATAATAAGAGATCTGATGGCTTCAAAGCGAGACGAAATACCAAGAAAAAGACAGATCGACGGAGTCACAGAGACCCTCCACAGGGACAAGAAGACGATCCAAAAGGCAACAAACAGGCCAACGTTTGACAATTGCGTCTCCCTATCGTAAAGTAAGGGGGGAAAATCAAGGCTGACAGACAGAAAATTATTATAGCATTTTGCGTCTTGACAGATGAACTTAAAGCAGTATGCATGATACAGCTTTGCCTGGGAGGTGGACATAGAGAATGCTGTTTGAACAAGTACTACAGTACTGCCCTACCTTCAATTCTTGACTTCTTTTCTATGCTCCAAAGCAGAGACATTGTTAACACACTCACACACACACACACACACACACACAAACACACACACTCACACACACACACACACACACACACACACACACACACACACACACACACATATATATATATATATATATATATATATATATATATATATATATATATATATATATATATATGTATGTATGTATGTATAGTATAAGGTTTTACGGCGCTCGCAACTGCTAAGGTCATATGAGCGCGCGAAACACAAGTTGTTCACCTCTGCGAAAGTTCACTTCACGACTGGCTAACTAATTTACTTTAAAATGCTAAAAAGTTAAAATATTCAAATTCGGTGTAAATACATTTGTGATCTAAAACAACTTTTAAGTAACAATAAAAATTTTAAATAATATCAAATTCACTCTACAACTCGCCATAAAGGCCAATGGCCTTTATAAAATTTAAAATTCTGCTGGGAACAACGACGGAAAAAATATCCTGCAATTTCTTGCATTTATAATATTTCCTTCGGATCTCTCCAAAGTCTAGACATTCTGTTAAAATGTGTCTAATGGTAAAATCTGTGTCGCATCCGACACAGAACGGCTTCTCATCTCCCTGTAGGAGGTATTTGTGGGTCAGGGCCGTGTGTCCGATGCGCAATCGAGTAAAAATGACTTCGTCTCTTCTGGAGAGATCCGAAGGATTTCGCTGTTCTAGTTTGGGTTTAATTTCATATAATTTATTATTTTTCTGGTTTTCCCAGTGGCTCTCCCACAGACTGGAGGTGTACTTTTTGACTTTATTTCTAAAGTCAGTCTGTGGGAGAGTGTTTGTCGTTGATCCCAGCAGAAGGGATGAAGCTTTCTTCGCCAGGTCGTCTACCTGCTCGTTTCCTCGGATGCCCACATGGCTTGGGATCCATGCGAACATGATGTTTTTTCCTGTTTCGGATAGTGTATGGATTTTCTGTTGTAGCCTAACTATTTTTGGGTGTAAGAGTGTGTAGTTTGTGAGTGAGGTGATGCAAGACAGAGAGTCAGAAAGGATAAGGAAAGATTTGTTAGGAGAATTTTCTACAGAGTCCAGTGCCATGTCAATGGCAGTGGCCTCCGCAGTGAAAATGGAGGCTTCAGGATGGAGTCTCCTCTGGTGTGTATTGTTGGGAGATAGGGCTGCGGCGCCCACTTCATTGTCTTTTTTGGAGCCATCCGTGAAGATGAGCTCCGCACCGGGGTATTTATCTATTAGTTTTTTGTATTCTGCTTGAAAAGTTTTGGTGTTTGTGCTTTCTTTGTTGTGTGTGGTCAGCTGTAAATCTACTTTTGCCTTGGTGAGGTGCCACGGAGGGAGGTCGGGGAAAAGAATTTGTTGGATGTCTTGTTTGGAAAAGTGTAAGTTTTTGAGGTCCTCAAGGATTCTGAGGCCGAAAGGTTTGATGAGTTTTTCGTTGTTTTGGAATCTGTTTATGGTTTCTGGATTTGTTTGAAAAATGCTGTTGTGCGCTGGATTTTCCGGTGTTGAGCTCTGTTTAACTGCGTATTGTAGTGAGAGTTGTGTGCGTCTGAGTGAGAGTGGTGGTATGTTGGCCTCGGCCTGGAGGCTCTCCACCGGAGAAGTGCGGAAAGCCCCCAGAGCGAGGCGGAGTCCTTGGTTTTGTATTGGATCTAGTATTTTTAAGACGTGTGGTTTTGCCGATCCGTAGACTTGACAGCCGT